AAAAAAGAAAAATTTCTGGCTTACAATTGGCTTGTGAAGTGCTTTTAACAACTCCAAAACCACCATGCATCAATTTTGGATGGTAGCCATCTTGCTCTTTTGTACTTCTTGAATTTGCCAATCACTTCTCGTGGGGATTGCAAATTTTTTTAACTAAACTTCCACTAATATTATAGATTTTGCATAAAAAAGACTATTCCATCAAGATTCAATAGCATGGCTGAAAGGAATCTTGGCCATGTTGAAGGTGCCATATTGACCTTATGCTCCTCCAAAGCATGGCAAGAATCCTCAATTATCACTTCTAAAAGGAGGTTTCCCTTAATGGGAAGATAAAAAGATTGGTTGCCACTAGCTCTTTATGTTGCCTAGGGAAAATTTGCTCTTTCCTGACTTGTTAGCTCAAAACTCCAAAACATAGCCACCACCCCTTTGTGAATGCAATCTTTCATATTTAACCTTTAAAAAACATCCAATGTTTGGGGTGGTGACAAAAGGAAGGATTAATGGAATAAGAGTTCAATTCTATGCAACTCATATTCATGCCACTCACTCTATAAATATGTACTCTCAATTTTTAGTGGTAGTGAATTTTGTGCTTTATCCATAGTCCCCAACCTCGTCTTTCCCATGTGATTGCACCTACCAATGTGAGGGATTTTAGTCAATTGTGAAATCAGTGAAGGTACACTACTCTTTCTTGATCTCCATCTATATAAAAAGCCCTAAATATGTACCACCACCCTTTTGTGCATTAGAGATGTTATTATTGGTCTTTTCCTTAAGCACACTTAATAATGTTAGTCCAACTCCAGGCTTTGCAAAAGATTTACCAGATCCTAAATTAGATCCACCAATTGCCATTTTCATGCATTCAATTCTTCAAGAAGATCCTGTAATAATATCAAGTTAAAAGATTAGCAAAAACAAATTGCACTCTTAAAGCTAGTTTGCTCCCCACCTGCAAGAATTGTCATACAATTCCTCTACCAAGAAAGCACACATCAAAATCATCACTCAAATTATGTGGCACATAATATCTAACATGCTAGTTTGGCAATGCTTTGTCAATTTCATGCTGATACAGCTTGGTCACTCTTTATTTGCCCTCACAACACAAAACAAGTGTTTGTGCATGATGTAGCCTTGCAACACACTACATGGGACCTCACTCAGGACATTAATAAAAACACAGAACTCACACAGAACAAATGTGAGTGTATTTCAACTCAAGATGCTCACAAATAACAAAACACTCCTTACTTTAAAGCACACTCCAAGAAATGCTAGTAAACACAAAATCCCCAAGTGAGGCTCAGCCTAACCCTCGCTCCCCATTGTTTCCCACTTTTATTTTCCAGTTCTGAGATTCTCAGGATCTTGAAATCCCTTGCACGAACTGTAACTGCGACACTGTGCCACTTGTTTGATCATTTATGAGTTTGTCCGGTACAATCTCATTCATTTTTCTTTAGTAGAGTGTAAACTCTACAAAGCATGAGAAGAAATCTCAGGAATATGGAAAGATTTGTAGAGTAAGTGAAATTTAAAATGGAAGATGTGATCAACTTTCTTCGTTTGATATTATTTTTATAGTTTGGGCTCTTTGGAGCTTTCGAATCGATTCAACATCAATACCGCAAAAGTTGTGTGGGATCTGCCATTTCAATAAGTGGTGAGGTGAGAAAGCAGAGCCTGCTACAATTGATCACGCTTGCTCTGCTGATCCTCAAAGCCTCTATTACATGCTCTGACGTTGAGATCTTTAGGTGAGCTTTTGAAATTCTTATTTAACTGCCGTGAACATGGGAATGCAACGTGGTGGGCGCGCAACACCTGAGAGTTACAAACCTACAACCGCAGCGCAGACTCGAATTGCTCCAGGATGATAAATGGCATAGAATTCAAAGGCGTGAGTTTTGATGAACAGGGTGTTTTCAAGACTACTAGATGGTATGGATACCAAAACTGGGTCATTATGGGCAACTATGTCAAGTTTACACATTGGGTGGAAGAGTTTGGAGAGCATGGTTTTGACTAGCTTAAAGCTTGAAGAGGCTGATACATTGTTATCACTTCTAGCTCTCTATTTGGAATATAACATTTAAGTTGAATGTGAGCTTTGTTGGTGGGAGAACAAGTAATTATATGATTTGCAGGCAGCTTATCACCGCATCTGCGATGAGACGCCGGAGCACTGGATCGCTTGTCTTGATAATGGTTTCACTGCCATTGAGCTCAATAGAAGCACTAGTTTGGAAGGTCACGGATATGACAGGAACTTTGGATCCATCGGGTTGCTCCGCAAAGCTCTGCTGGATGTCCACCAGGCCCTTCTCCCTCAGAGCTCTCAACAGAGCGTCCACGTCGGGTGTGCCACAGAATCTTTGGGGCGTTTGTATCATTCTCGACACTCTCGGCATTTCCAGGTAGAAGTTCCCGTCGTAGAAGTGCATCTCTGCAGAGAGCCGAGCCAAGGCTGCATTGTTTCCGGTTCGAGTTTGCTTGGGCTTGATCCGGGTGGCTAAGTCCGCTGATAGTTCCATGTTGAGCTCTTCCTCCAAGCTCGGGATCTTTAGTGGAGCTCTGTGCACGTAGAACAATATTTTTGTGTCACAATCCGACGTCACCACGGATTTCAAGCGTTCTGGCACCTGGAGCAAAGAATGTAAAAGAAGGAACAATGTCATCAATCTAATCTACTCACCACTGCAAATTTGGGTTGCAAGCGATCTATCAAGGAGGACAAAGCTCCTCGTGACCTGCAAAGATCTGCCGTTAAGCGAAGACAATGGTTTTGTTTTGTAATTTATTTACCTCGCGCTAGTGGCTAGGGGAAAATGTTTTACTTGTATGGACAATGGCTTGAATGGGAGTAAAAACCTCTCTACATCAATATCTGGCTGAAAGAAGAAACCAGAGATTAGTACAAAGTGAAAGAGCTCTACCAGTTATATTTTTATTCCTTACTTCTGTCAGTATGAGCAAGTTACTCGAATGCTGGCGCCAACGATTTAGTATATGTACAGACGGTCCCATTCGAAGGCTTACATGGGAAGCCAGTATCACGCAGGGACCAGACTCCCTACAAAGAATTTCTAAGTTTGACAGAAGAACACAACGAAAGACTTACACAACTTCTGGCGACAGGCTTGGAAAGTGAGAGAGCTTTCCCTCCTTTAGAAGCTCGACGTGTCCAAACAATGACTCCCCGTTATATAGCTGAAGGAGATGAATAGATGAGAGTTCACTGTAAGGAGCATCAATACCTTCTCTTGCCGTGACGATGAGAGCCACTCCGGAACAGTGTTAGTAAAAGCCAGGAATTCCTGAGCACTCGGCGATACGTAGAAAATCTTTCCCGAGCTGTCACACGCTTGTCAAAACAAACTGAAACAAAACCAAGATATGCTTACACTTTTGCACAAGAAACTTCTTGAGAGATCGTCTCGATGAGCTCGAGGACTGTGTCTGAAACACTGGTGGGTATCAACACCGAGCCTCCCTTGCTTAAAGCATCTGCGGCAGCGTTTGCGACTTGCGCTAGCAAGGATCTCTGCTGAGGCTCCCGTTTCTCACTGAGTACGCTGTTGGCCATCCGTGGCTTGGCGTTGTGCGAAGTGATGAATTCCACACGAGCATTTACCCATGGCCGAGTCGTAAGTCTACTGCGGGGTTCAGCTTCAGTATCCATCTCGAGTTTCTCCACAGAAGAAGTTGGCTGTTTGGCCGAAACAAGGAGAACTTGGCTTCCATCCAAAGAAGTCAAATCCTGGCTCGCACAACTAGCTGCGGCCGCTGCTACATCGCAAGACGAAACGTATGTCACGCTCGAGCAAGGTCCTTTAATCACCCAGTTCGAAGCACCAATGCCTTGGCCGGAGCTATAAGGTGTCAAGACCACACACCCATCAATGGGGGCCTCTTCACCATAACGAAGAGTTTGGATTCTTTCCATGCAGCCAAGCACGTCTTCTGCACTGCACAGAAAGAGCGTTTTAAATCTGGGAGGAAAGAAAACCAATGCAAAGGTGGTCACCTGTAAAGCTTGTGCCAGTTTAAGATGCCTGAGTTGTGCTCCCCGAGAAGACAATCTTTGAGAGCCTCCGGAACTTCACACTGCGTGAACTCCGGATGGTTCTCAAGAGAGCTTGCTCCATAGAGTTTTAGAAAGTCGCGGTGGGAAGAAACAAGCTCCTGCATCAAAAGCTTCCCAACAGTTGCTGTTGGATACGTTGCAAAGATCTGGGAAGAAGAAAGAAAGGAGGAACTGTAAGAAACCAAACCAGAACGACGAACCTTTGCGGTGAAATCTGGATTGCGAGTGAGAAATGGTAGAGCGAGCATGGATTCTGGTCTCGAGATCACCACCGCATTGATCAGAGCCACATCCAAAACGCTCAAGTCGGCACTTTGGTACCATGGCTCGGCATCAATCACCACACCGTCGCCGGCTCTCCTGAAAGGAGCCTTGACGACCAGCTCGCTTGAGTCCCCTTTCTTCGGCTTCTTGCGCCTCGCATTCTCCGAGAGCGCCTCCTCTGTCGGGAGAAAGAGCGAAAGACTGGACAAATCGAGAGGGCACTCGAGGAGAAGCTGCAAATCGCAAATCTCGAGCAGATTGCTGTCGACGGCGGCACCACTGGATGGCCTCTGCAGCGAAATCTACAGGAGAAGAAAGACATCTCGATCCACTGAGCTCTAGACAACGATCCATCGCTTACCAGGCGCATTCCCGACAATAAACCCTAAAATGTCCGAATATTCGATATACCCGAATATTTTATGAAATATGCTTTCGTTACCGCAAAAACAGGGTTTTGAAGAAACTCAAGAACAAGCTCTCCTGTTGTTCGCAAGCTGGAACAACCTTGGATACATTTCATGAGGGATGAGAAGATTGCATGGTAGGCCTGAGTGTGTATGGGTAAAGTGTGCTGCTAGCAAAAAGACTTCAAAGCATTTAGAAAAGTATGTTTGATTGTGTACAGCTTATGTGATCAGCGGCGAGGCTTAGATATATGGTTGATGATCCAATTGATTTGCTGCAGGCGTTGCTTCCAGTCTACAAAAACCACCAAATGGATTGTACCCAAGAAACCCAGAAGAGCGCCAAGCAAGAAGCCTTTCATGGACACATTCTCGGAGAGCCAAGACGTCTCACGGCCAGCTTGAGTAGAAGTAGAAGTGTTGGAACAGGGTTGCAACGGATAAGATCCTCCACAAAGATTGTTTCCCTCGAAAGAACTGGGGCCGAACTTGGTGTAGAAGAGCTCTGATGCCAAAACCCTTCCACTGAGATGGTTGTGAGAAACGTTGAAACTTCCAAGCTGGCTCAAGTCACTGATCTGGGCCGGGATGGTTCCCTGGAGCTTGTTGCTCGACAAGTCGAGAGACTCGAGCTTGACGAGCCTGGTCAATGCCAGGGGGATACTGCCAGTCAGCCCATTGAACGAAAGGTTCAAGTACTTCATGCCCACAAGCAGACCAATATCGTCCGGGATCCCGCCCTCAAGCAAGTTTGACGATAAGTCAAACAAGGTCAAACCGTTGATATACTGGGCGAAAGGAAGCCTCGAGCCCTTGATGATCATCTCAAACCGCATGCCGCCGGGGCATTCTGGGCAAGCCAGGCCAGGGATGTTGTGCCATCCTTCGGGATCGTCAGGTCTGGAATTCACGTCCTTGAAGGAGATCAACTCACCTATGCTGCCGGGGATGTTGCCAGTCAACCGGTTCTGGGACAGGTCAACAACCTTGAGCTGCGGGAGGCTGGACCAAATGCAGCTGGGAATGGACCCGTGGAGCTGATTGTACGAGAATGACAACAGAGTCAATGCAGTCCACCCGCAGATCGATTCTGGAATCATCATGGAGAACCTGTTATCCCGGAAGTTGGCAATCCTGATGTTGCTGGTGTTGGAACTGAGGACTAGATCTCTTTCGAACTCGTTATGGGAAAGATCCAAGTGAACCAGACTGTGGATCTGGCTGAAATCCATGTCTATTTTTCCAAGCTGGTTCCTTGCCACCATGAGAATGGAGAGGCTGGAGCAATTGCCCAGAGAGGCAGGAAGGCTGCCAACCAGAAGATTTTGTGACAAGTCCAAGTAGTAGAGCTGTGAAGCATTGGCGCCCAGGCTAGAAGGTATCTCTCCTGAGATCTGGTTTCCCGAGAGATCCAGCGTCCACAGCGAGCTTGAGTTTCCAAGGCAAGATGGAATGCTCCCTGTGAGTGAGTTGAAGGACAAATCGAGCTTGCTAATGCTCGCCAGGTTGCAAGCTTGTGGGAGAGAGCCCCAGAGGTTATTTCTCGCTAAGTCCAAAGTGCCAAGGTTCGCCATGTTGAAATATTCCAGCGGTATGGTCCCCACCAACCTGTTGGTCGAAATAAAAAAGTTACTAAGCAGCTCAAGCTTGGAAATTTCGGGAAGAAGCTGGCCAGTGAAGTTGTTCACGCCCATGTCAATGCGGCTCATCTTGATGCACAATGGCAAGGAAACAGGGATTTCCCCATCCAGCGTGTTGAAGGCCACGTCAAAGTTTGTCAAAGCGCTCAAATTTCGACCTAGTTCTGATGGAATTACTCCGGTGAGCCTGTTCCTCGAAAGATCCAGCTTTGTGACCTGTGAGCAGTGTAGCACAGATTCGGGGATCTCTCCTGTTAAGTTGTTGGTGCTCAGAATAATGGTTTCCAGGACACAGTGGTCTCCAAATTCTGGGATGCCACCTGTGAGATTGTTGTTCCGGAGGGAGATGAACTTCAGAGCTGGCAAGTAGCTGAAGAATTGCGATGGAATGCTGCCTGTTATCTGATTGTAGCCTAGTTCCAAAACTTCCATACGACCCTGGTTGTTCTCGGGAGAAATCTCCTGAAACTCAGAGCTAAATGATTCCAAGTTGTTCGCATGCAAGTGCAAACCAACAAGACTCTTGCTCACCAGGAGAAACGTAGGAATTTCTCCTTCGAGGTCATTCCCTTCAAGGTTCAGCTCTTCCAAACTAGAGAGATTTGCAAAGCCCCTTGGTATGGAACCATTGAGAGAGTTGTAACTGAGATCCAGGAGCGTGAGATTGCGAAGCTGTCCCAAGAAGCTTGGAAGCTGTCCACTGAGGCGATTGCAACAGCAGGAAAGCTTCTCAAGCCTGGAGTACCGCGCTAGGCTCGAGGGAATCTCACCACCAAGTAAGTTCCCATCAAGAAATAGGCTTTGCAGCATGGAGAGTTGGCCCAGAGACTCCGGAATCTTTCCGTTTAGATTGTTGAACGTGAGATCTAGGGACTGTAGCCTGGTGCAGTTACCCAAGGTCGATGGAATCCCCCCCGACAAATAGTTGGACGACAGATTGAGCAGCTCCAGAAACTCGAGGGAACCGAGAGAGGATGATATTTGCCCCTTCAAAGGAATATTGTAAAGAGCAAGGGATACCACCCGGCCTTGTGGATTGCAAGCTATTCCTGTCCAGTTACACAAGCTTGTGCTACTCACGTCCCAATTCGCTAGAGGGTCTGGAAGCACATCCAAGATCCATGGTGGAGAAAATGCCTTGACACCTCGCTTGAACTCGAGAAGAGCACTGGCCTCGAGAGTAGATGACTGAGATGATTGAGATTGACCACCCTGGAACACAGTTAAGAGGAAGCACAAACAATAGAGAAGGGCCGCCATTCTCGTAAAGCGCTAGAACTCTAGTTAGAAACAATGAAAACCCAGTCGCCGTGTTGACTAAGTAGAGTTAAAGCCCTGTCCGTGCATACTTCATTTTCTCTCTTGTATCACTGTTATCAATCAATTCATGTCCTTCCTAGCACCTGCCTTGATTGATAACAGTGATACACGAGAGAAAATGGTCTGTAACGACATGCGTTTCTCTCTACTTAGTCAACACGGCCTTTCAAAAAGACTGACTTTGATCAATCAATGCATGTCCTTTCCAAAAGACTGACTTTGACAGACTTGCTGTTTGTATCAGTTTCTACTATTATCAACGCGCTTTGGACATAGTTTTCGAATCGATTCAGCATCAATAGCACTGTTCACTACAAACAACATTGTTCTAGGATCTGCCCCAGTTCGACAGGTGAGAAGGTTTTGCAGTATGAGAAATCAGCGCCTGCTACAATTGATCACACTAGCTCTTCTCATCCTCCCAAACTCAAGTATATAATTCCTCTATTGCTTGCTCTCATGTTGATATCTCCAGGCGAGGACGATTGGGGCATTCCGCTTCTCAAATTCCTATTCAACTGCCGTGAACATGGGAATGCGATTGTGTGGAGGGCGGGCAACAGCTGGGAGGTGCAAACTTACAACCGCAGCGCAGCCTCAAATTGCTCCAGGGTGATAAACGGCGTGGAATTCATAGCCGTGAGCTTTGATGGAGAGGGTGTTTTCAAGACCACAGGATGGTATGGGTACCAAAACTGGGTTATGACGGGTCATTTTAACAAAGTGGGCAATTATGTCCAGTTTGCATAATTATAAGAAAATTATCTGATATATGATTAACAAAGTTATTTATCTATTCGGTCAATGAAAAAGTTGACTTTTAAAAGCCTTTTGGTCAAGAACCCTAATTTTGTGAGAAATGCCTAGGGTTCATGCAGAGTCTCTGTTTGCCTTTGCGCCGGGATTCTTCGATGGTGCTCGGATCTACGCCTTCAGCGCGGATTGTGACGCAGGTGGAAGTGGCCAAGGCGCATTGCGGCCGGATGGAGCTGAGGAGCGCGCTGTGGAACTGGGCGAGGCTGCCGCCGGGGATGAGGATCTGGAGGATTCCAGGCTGAGCAAGTGGACGTGTGGAGCCTGTGGTATGAAGTTTCAGAACGGGGAGGATCAAAGGGGCCATTTCAAATCCGATTTCCATCGCTTGAATGTAAGTAGTCTCTCTTGTTTGTTCTGTGTAGGTTCTTAGAGTTTTTTCTTGCTTTGTTCAAGGAGCTTTTTTACTTTTAGGTGAAGCGAAAGATTGCTGGGAAGGCTTGTTTCACTGAAGAGGAGTTTGAGAGATTCGCTGGCGGAGACATTGCGGGTGACACTGATGTTTCCAGCGTATCCGGCTCGGAGAGCGATGTGGAAGACGAAGAGAAACACAGCAGTAAGAATGTGGCTGGCAAAGTAAGCATTCCTTTGCTGCTTGGCTCTGGCCCGATCGTCGAGGTCTGGAGCTGCCTGGTTTTGAATAGCGGCGAGAGACTGGAGAAGCAGAAAGACGATCAACAAGAAGCTGGAGTGGTCACGGAAACGGTGTTCCTCTCACGATTAAAATCTCTTGTTTCTTCGCCCAAGCTCGTTTGGGTCGTACTGCTCGCAGTCGGGGGTCACTTTGCTGGCGTGGTGGTGGACATAAAGACTGGCGTGGTTCAAGCACATCAAACTTATCACAGGTTTGCTTTCGTTTTTGTTGGTTTCCTGGACGTGTTTCATGGATTTTCTGTTTTTCCTTGTAGATACGTGGTGCGGGCAAAGGCTGGAGGGAAACAGGCTAATCGAGATGCTACTGGTAGAGCTCCCAAATCCGCTGGGGCTTCTCTCAGGCGCTACAACGAAATGGCTTTGCAGAAGGTGGGCATGACTTTGTGATAATGTTCCAACTTCTTAGATGCGTTTGTTTTAGGAAATCAAAACATTGCTCGAGTCCTGGAGAGACTACTTACAAGAAGCTAGCTTCATTTTCGTGTTCGCTCCATCACGGAATAGCCAGTCGATATTTGGAGACAAACCTCTACTAAGCCGGGAGGACAGTCGACTTCGATCCATTCCATTTCCAACCAGGAGGCCAACGTACAAAGAAGCGAGACGAGTATATGGACGCCTCTCCTCTTTACAGTACAAGGAGAAGGAAGAAGTTTTAAGTGTTCCCGACGAAGCACCGCCACCTTCTACTGAGAAAAGCGAGAAAAAAGTCACGGTTCAACACGAAAGGAGCGACACAGACTTGGATGCGGCTGCCGAGGAAAACGCCGCTGCTCAGGTGCCGCCGCCGCCATTGCACGAGGCTGTAGTGGCTGGAAACGCGACTCTAGTGATGGATCTCCTGGAGAGCGGCGCGGATCCTTGCGTTAAGCATCGGGGACGAACAGCTTATGCGGCTGCAAGCCACAAAGAAACCAGGAACGCGTTTCGAAAGTTCATGGCCTCTCACTTGGACATGTGGGATTGGAATGCTGCCAACGTGCCAAGTCCATTGACAGACGAGATGGAAGCAGCCCAAGCTGCGAAACAGGTGAAAAAACTAAACAACTCCTCCGGTTCTCCCTGCTGAGATCTATGGTTTTTGCAGGCTGAGAAGACTGCGAAACGCAGGGCTAAGGAAAAGGAACGCAAACTTGAGAGAAAAGCACAACAAAAAGCAGCCGCGGCAGCAGAGGTACTCGTTCTCTAAATGCAATGTTACATGTAGATGCCCGAAACAAATCACATCTTGCACAGGTCTCGAAGAAACCAGGGACGAGTGCCCCTAAGGAAGTTCCAACACAAGAGGTATAAAACAGAAAGGAATTGCCCTGGACTAACTTTGCGTTGATGATCAATCAGGCGATGAATGCGACGCAAAGAGAGTTGCGAGCTGCTGCTGCCGAATCGAGGATGAAGGCTTCGATGACAAGCGCCGGATCGTCGGAGTTGTGCTCGTGCTGTGCGAGCTCTCTCGCAAACAAGGTACCATTCTACAAGTTTGAGTTTAAGTACTGCAGTGTTGCTTGCGTCAATGCTCACCGCCGAATCCTCGAAGATGAATGAATAAAAAAAGCTCTCGAGTTTTAAACTTTCCCGCCAATTTTTGGGATTTTAGGTCCCAGGAGATTCTTCTTAGGGTTTATGGGTTCCCGGGAGAATGCGAGGAGGGCTGCGGGAGCGGCCGGGCAGGCATCAGCTCGATCTGCGGCATTGGAGCAGCTCAAGAGGCTGCGCGAGGGAGGAGGGCGCCGCGTCGACACTTTCGAGCTCAAGGTAGAGGAGCAGATCTTCGATAGGCTAGACGAGAAGGATTACGCGCTGCTGGTGGCCAAGCGGCGGCTCGAGTCTCAGGATTTTGTGGTGGATGACGATGGTCTCGGCTATGCTGATATTGGCGAGGAGGAGAATTGGGATGTTGGGGCAATGCCGGAATCTTCTGACGAGGAGGACGGTGCTGCCAAAAAGAAAAAGATTGCTGGTAAGAGTCTTGTTCTTTTCCCTCTTTCAGATGAAGGAATTGTGGTGTTGTGTTGTAGATCCGAAGAAGAAGAGAGATGTGCCCAGTAGAAAGGAGAGGGAGCTCATGGCAGCAGCTTCGCTCATGGGGAAGCAGAGTGTCTCCAGTATGTTTGCTGCTGCTGGGTCGGGAATGAGCGTCAAATCCTCCAAAGCTAGAGACTTCGATGGAGCGGACCAGGTGCTGGATGACGTTCTCGCTGCTGTAGGCGCGGACAGTGTTCATCGGGAGAGGAAGAAGAAGCATCGACAAACATCGGAGGCAAAGGAGGACAGTCACTTTTCCAGGGAAATGCCATCTCTTATGGCTGATATGGAAATAGCTGCCAAGGTGGAGGAGGACTCACTTCCACCACCACCTTCTACATCAGAGAAGCAGGCAGAAGACTCTGCGGTTTCCACTTTTCTTGTAGCTGATGCGGAAGTAAAAATCAAGGTGGAGGAGCCAAGTCAAGAGCTTCCACCACTGCCGTTCAACGCGGATCATAGCACGAGTAAAAATGAACGAATCAAAGCGGCTGAAGATTCTTCCGGCCTAGGAGAAATGCCAGCCCTCCCGGCTGACGAGATGGGAAACCTTTCATTTTTCTTCCTGGATGCCTACGAGGAGGCGTTCGGTGCAAACGCCGGGACTGTTTTCCTCTTTGGAAAGGTACGAAGTTCAGCTATAAACTTACGTCTCAGGATTGGTTTCGATGCAGGTTCAAAGAGGTGGAAAATATGTCAGCTGTTGTGTTGCCGTGAGAAATATCCAGCGGTGTGTTTTTGCAGTTCCTGGTCCGTCGGTATTTCCAGACGGCCTCGTCAACACTCTGGAACAAGAAGCAACATCATCCGAACTGAAGGTGAAGCTTCAGGTGGGGCCTTGAATTTTAGACATTGTTCCTGCTCTGACAATGCAGATTCCAGGAAATGGCTAGAGAAATGAAAATGGAGCTCTCAGAAAAGTTGATGGAGCTCAACGTTTCGAAGTTTAGCATGATACCTGTGAAGGTATAACATAGTTCAATATCTTCAAATCACAAATATTTTCTTTTCTCCAGAGGTCATATGCATTCGACAGAATGGATGTGCGATCAGGAGCTCATTATTATTTAAAATTAAGTTATCCCTTCAAGGTTTGCTTTCCATTTAGTTTTAATTAGTTAGTTTCGTATCCCGTAGGATCCGACGCTTCCGGGTGATCTGAGAGGAGCGCACTTCACCAGTGTATTCGGAACACGGACAAGGTGAAGGCATGCTTTAATTATGAGTACTGTTAGTTTTGACAGTTTCTTTCAATATTGCATAGTGCGCTGGAAACTTTTCTCATTAAAAGAAGAATCAAGGGACCTTGTTGGCTGTCCATCTCGAACTCGCACCAAATACCATGCTCTTCTCAGGTTGGTAATGACGAAAGATAGATTATCTTGACACTATCCTGTTGTTTCAGATCAGCTGGTGTAAAGTGGAGGTTTCCGTGGATTCTCCGAAAGACGTAGCTAATATATCAACTTTGAAACCTGCGTTTGAGATCCCGAGGCTGATTGTTGCTAGCATCTGTCTGAAGACGGTAGTCAATCAGAAACAAAATCTAAATGAGATTGTCTCTGCATCGGTAGTGTTTTGCGAGCGCGTAAAGGTATACTGGTCACATTTGATTTTGTGATGAACTTGTGACATGATTTTTCTGCAGGTAGATGCACCCATGCCGCAGTCCGAGTGGAACAAGCAAGAGATGCTAGAACATTTTAGCATCGTCCGCAAGCTCGATGGCGGAGTATATCCGATGGGATTTTCTTCTGAGGTATCACTCATTAATAACAAGAGCGGGTGCAGCGTTTTGAGCTGTGAGGGGAGGTAAGCTTGGCAACGTGGGCCACTTATCCTGATTTCTTTGTTTCCTGCAGTGAGCGTGCCCTATTGAATTGTCTGATGATCAAGCTTCATCAACTAGACCCTGACGTGTTAGTTGGACATAACATTTCGGGGTTTGATCTCGACGTCCTCCTGCATCGCTTGCAAGTACGAAAGCTATGCGATTACGACATTTGCTCATTGATGTGTATCAGGCGTGCAAAGTTCCAAGCAACGTGTGGTCTCGAGTCGGGCGGCTGAAAAGGTCTCAGATGCCTAGGCTGGTTGGTGGTGGAAATAATTTTGGTGGAGGAGCGGGTCCAGGAGTAATGTCGTGTGTTGCCGGCCGTTTACTATGCGACACATATCTTTCTTCTAGAGAGCTTGTGAAGGAAGTAAGTTTTTGTGACATAATTTCTATCATACTGAGCATTTGAATTGTGCAGGTGAGCTATACTTTAACGCAATTGTCGAAATCTCAGCTGGGAAGAGAAAGAAAAGAAATCTCCCCATCAGAGATTCCAAACATGTTCCAAACGTCGTCCACCCTGTTTGAACTGGTATGAGTTTCTCTTTCGCAGTGGTTTTGCGTTTACGGTATATATTTACAGATTCAATCTGGTGAAACCGACGCTTGGTTGTCGTTGAGTTTGATGTTTCACCTTAGTGTTTTACCGCTTACACGGCAACTCACTAACATTAGCGGTAATTTGTGGAGTAAAACCTTACAAGTAAGTTACAGATGACAACTGCCATTCTTATCTCATGTTATGAACAACAGGGTGCAAGGGCACAAAGAGTTGAATATCTGCTCTTGCATGAGTTTTATGGACGTAAATATATTGTTCCTGACAAAGTATCTGCTAGTGAAAAAGAGAAAGACAACGAGAAAAAGAGGAAAACAGCACAACAAGATGAAGACTTTGAGCCGGATTCTGCAGTCGAGGCAAAGAACAAGAAAGCTCCGGCTTACACTGGCGGGTTGGTTCTCGAACCGAAAAAGGGGCTTTACGACAAGTATATTTTGCTTCTGGATTTCAATAGTCTTTATCCATCTATAATCCAGGTATTTTGTCGTTAGTATTCAAAAGCTCACGGTTTCTTTTTCTTTTTCATGAAATGCCTTAGGAATACAATATATGTTTTACTACTGTTGAGCGGTCCTCAGATGGTTCAATATCCTCTTTGCCAAATGCGGATGCACCTGGTGTACTCCCGCAGGTACGCCGGTATGCTTGTACAGGGGACTCCTCTCATCTGCTGTCTTTGTCAGGTCTTGAAAGCATTGGTTGATCGCAGGAAACAGGTGAAGCAATGGCTTAAGAAAACAACGGATGTCTTGAAATACCAGCAGATGGACATACAGCAGCAAGCTCTCAAACTTACTGCTAACAGGTATGGATCTTAGCTTCTGTACAAGATTCTCAAATGCAGAAGCAATCAGTATGTACGGTTGTTTGGGATTTCCCAACTCGAGGTTTTATGCCAAGTTCATTGCCGAATTGATAACTTCACAGGTATTTTATTCTTTCTGAAAAAACTTGTTCTTATGCATACTGTGATAGGGACGCGAAATACTTCAAAGTACAGTGGATCTTGTCCAAAACGTCTTGAATTTAGAGGTACTAATGTTTTATCTACTTAAGATATTACAGTTATCTCTGTGACCAGGTGATCTATGGGGATACTGATTCAATAATGATCAATACGGGGCTGGACGATCTTTTAAAGGCCAAAAGCATTGCCGCGCAAGTTATTAAGGAGGTAAGATTTGATTAGATTATCTTGAATTTGACTCTTCGAAGTTCAGGTTAACAAAAAGTACAAACTACTGGAAATCGACTTAGATGGCGTTTTCAAAAGAATGCTTCTACTTAAAAAGAAGAAGTATGCCTGCGTGAAAGTTGAAACCAGTGCTGACGGAAAACTTCGAGAGGTAAACAAGTTTTTCTTTGATTGTGAGCTCTAGGAAGTTGCGGTGCAGGTAATAGAGCAAAGAGGACTGGATATAGTGCGAAGAGACTGGAGCCTTCTATCGAAAGATGTGGGAAACTTTATTCTCGAGCAGATTTTATCGGAAGGGTAAGTTTCTTGTTCTTTAACAAAAATTCATATCGCGACGAATTTTACAGTTCACGGGAGGATGTTGTTGACGCTATCCACGATAAATTAAGAAAGGTGCGTTCTTGTTTGTTTTTCGTTTTTCTAATTAGTTTTTCTTCTCATAGTTGCAAGATGATATGAGAAATGGCAGAATTGAACTTGAAAAGTATGTCATCACAAAGAGCTTAAGCAAACGACCAGAGGACTACCCTGACAGTAAAAACCAGCCTCATGTTCAGGTTGGCATCTCTTAAATCTCTCTCTTTTCTTTTGTCCTATGGAAATTGTACTTTTCAGGTTGCTCTAAGACGAAAACAGGAAGGCCATAAATGTTTCCCTGGAGATACTATTCCATATGTCATATGTTGTCAAGAGGTACGAAATCTATTTTTCTCAATACATCAACATAAATAGAACTGCAGGGTGTGCTTGGTGTTCCACTGGCTGAGAGGGCAAGGCATCCAGACGAGTTAAAAGCCGGAGGTGGTGGATGGATTATCGACGTAGACTACTATTTATCTCAACAGGTTCGCTAGTTCGTTAATATTTTTCTACTATCGAAAACTGGCAATTTCTAGATTCATCCCGTAGTCTCAAGACTATGTACACCCATTGAAGGTACCGATCCAAGTCACATTGCCGATTGTCTGGGTCTGGATCCATCCAAGGTCATATTCTACGCGTCTTTTCTCTCTAGGTGCTCACATTTCTCACGCTGACAGTTTCAACAACGCTCAGTGTCAACCACACTTGATAAAGAAGATGCGCTTGTGGCCACATCTGTTCTTGATGATGAAGACAGGTAGTGTTTTTTGTTATGCTGTGGAAGATCTCACTTCGTTCTGACAGATATAACCGGTGCGAGGCTTTGGAACTGTTGTGTTCGAGTTGTGCTGCTAGATATCCATTTCCTGGAGTAAGTCACGTTCTTACTTTGGTTGGAGAGGATCAATCGGAGGACGAGAATGCCGGCACTCAGTCTCTTCTCAGTAAGCTTCTAGTGTGTCCTCATTGTTCCGTTGGACAATCTCAAAACGTTACTGCTCCAAAGCTCACCAATCTGGTACTTTTTTCATTTTTTGTACTTCAGATGAGCCTTTATCGATTGTTTCTCCTCAGGTCCTGGACCGCGCAGCAGAGTTTATTCAACGGTACTATGATTGTTGGATGGTGGTACGTATGCTCCTTGAACTGAAAGAGCGCAACTGACATTTTCTTTATCTTTATTTCTCAAGTGCGACGACGAGATGTGCAACCACACGTCGAGGGACACGATCTTGAGAATAGTAGGGGATGCCGAGCGAGGTGCAGTGTGCCCAAACTTTCCAAGATGCAATGGTCGTCTTGTCCGCCAGGTTAGCATCCCAGCACCTTTTCATGCTTCATTTTCTCTTAACGCTGCACGTGAAGCAGTACTCGCAAGTGGACTTGTACAATCAGCTCACGCATTTCTTCCGCTTGTTGGATGTCAACCGCGTCCTTCAGAAGGTAGTTTGGCATGGTTCCAAGCCTCTTCTAACGACCACTTTTCCAGCAGATCCCAGAAAGAAACTCGAAGGCCGCTGTAGCCGTGAACAACCTGAGGCCTCTGGTCGATCTTCCAGCCCAAGAGATCAAAAACATCCGCGACAGGTGCGCTTACCGCTGGGTTCAAATGAGCTCCTTGTGCGTTTCTGTGTAAAGCCGAAGAAGTCTCAAATCCTTGAAGACATTACACACTTTTGTACGCATTTGCAAGGAGCACGAAGGACGCTCCTTCCTCAAACTCAGATGGAGGTTTCAGATATCCAAGGTTGGCACTCTGATTCCTACAATTCGCTAACAAGCACCTCGAATCTGATGCATCAGGCACAAACGGTATGCTATCGACCAAGTCTTGTACATCGTCGAGACGTCCAGCCCGGCTGAGCACGTCCACCATGCAACTGTAGTGCTGCTTACAAGGCTGGAGCTCGAAATCCACAACCATGGACCTGAAAACGCGCATAGCATCGAAAACCTTGCCTTGGGAGCTATAGGCGCTGAGCAGCGACACGAAGCAAGCCCCATCGGGCACTTGCGTAAGTCTCATCGTCGAGGAGGTCTCTAAAGTTTTATCCAAAACGGTGGAGCTTTTAAATCTTCCAGTGGTGTAGCAATGGGAAGCCAGCAAAACGTTCCAGGAGACCGTGTCGTGCTCGGGCATTCTCTGGAAAAATGCTAGCACAAGCTCCAGATGCCCGGCTTGGGCATACACCGCAAGAATGTTGGTCCACGAGTGTATGTCCTGCTGGGCCATACCATTGAAGAGAAGGAGAGCTTCGCTGATATGCCCGCGCTGGGTATATGCCGCCAGCATCACGTTTAGTGAGACCAAGTCGAGCCGCTCGCGCCGCCTCATGGAATCAAACAGGCATCTGGCGTCCTCCACATGCCCGAGCCGCGAATATGCCCCCAGCATTGCGTTCCACGACACGAGGTCGTGCTGCGGCATCCCGTCGAACACGGCCCTGGATTCGCGGGGGCTGTCGGCGTGTTGGGAGCACGCCAGCAGCATCGCGTTCCACGAGACGAGGTTGCGCTGCGGCATGGCGGCGAAGAGCTTGCGCGTCTGCTGGAGATGCCCGGCTTGGGCGTGCGCGGAGATTATTACGTTCCACGCGACGAGGTTGTGGTGTGGCATGGACTCAAACATGACTCGGGCGGTGGAGAGATCGCCGCTGTGAGCGTGGGAGGAAAGCATCGTGATCCACGGAACCAAGCCCTTGTGGGGCATACGATCAAACATCTCTTTTGCTTTACTAAGATGCCCGTTTTCCCCATACGCTGCAATCATGGCTGTCCAGGAGACGAGATCTCTCTGCGGCATTTCGTCAAACAACGCCTGCGCTTGCGAGAGGCTTCCGTTTTGGCAGTAGCCACTGATCATCGCGTTCCAGCAGACAAGGTTTCTCTCCGGAATCTCGTCAAACAGCGCCCGAGACTGCACAAGATGCCCACTTTTGGCGAATTCCGTGATGAGAGCCGTCCATGACACAAGATCCCTCTCCGGCATAGTGTCAAAGATGGATCTTGCTCGTTGCAAACTTCCTCCTTGCGCAAACGCGCTGAGAAGTGTGTTCCAGGAGAAAAGATCCGTCTCTGGCATGGAATCAAACACCCATCTAGTCTCCTCAAGATACCCATTTGCAGCATATGCTGCGAGCTTGGCGTTCCACGAAACAAGGTTCCACTGCGGCATTTCGTGGAATATCCACTCCATCTGCTCGACATTATCATTCTGCCCAAATCCCGCAAGAATCGTGTTCCAAGACGCAGTGTCGCGCCTTGGCATCGCCCTCTCGAAAATTTCCCCTGCCTCCTCAATATGCCCATTCGCGGCATGCGCTGCTAGCACCGAATTCCAGCACACTACGTCGTGGGTCGGCATCCGGGCAAAGAGATCCATCGCGCGCTCGAGCTGCCCATTGCGCGCGTAGAGATTGAGCATCGCGGTCCAGGAATTGAGCCCCCGGTGTGGCATGGATTCGAAGACGCGCTGAGCCTCGCGGAGGTGCCCATTGCGCGAGTAAGCTACGAGCATCACTTGCCAGGAGAGCGCGTCCTTGGGCCATGTCTCGTCGTCGAAGATCTGGCGCGCGAGGGCTGCGCTGCCGCATCGCCCGTAGGCCTCGATGAGCTTGTTGGAGACGAAGGCGTCGATTAGAGCCCTATCCTTCTCGATTCTAGACTGGATTGCCTCCGCCGCCGGGAGGGTCTTGCAAGATTGGAGAAGATCGAGGCATTTGCCCCGATCCAGTAGCATATTCCTTAGGGCGGGAGGGTGAATATTTACTCGAATATACCTCTTTTAAAATTCTTCTTCTTCGTCTTGTTCTTCATCGTCGCTGCTGCCGCTAAAGTTCTCCTCGTCCTCCTCGTCTTGATCGTGATTCTCTTCAGATATTATTTCCACCGGATCGTTGGCTCGCTGATGATCTTCCGGAGTTTCTACTGCGACATCTTCTTGCTTTCGATCGTCCAGGAACCCTTTCAAGTTCTTGACGTTTTCCATGGCGCGGAAAAACTCGACGCTGTCGCCTTGCTCCGACCTGCGCTGGAGGAAGTCCTGGAGGAGCTTCGGGTAGCCGCTGATGAAGTGGGAGCTCTCCCAGGTTGCGTCCCTCACGGACAGGTTCTCCCACTGCACCAGGAACGACGTGCACGTCGAGCTTGGGAAGAACTCCTGCTTGAAGTCGATGATCCGGAGTGGCTCGACGTAGAGCTTGCTTTCCTCTACGACCTCCGAAACCAGATCAAAGACCGGGATCGAATCGTCGTCAATCACCTCGGCAGTGAATTCTATGCAGCGAAAAGATCTGGCTATAAGAAATCATTCAAAGGAAAAACTCTTACTTCGATCTCTTAGAGCAGCGGCGTCTCTGGTTTTGTGGATCTTCGGATTTGCATCGTATAAGGCGTCCACCTCGGTTGAGCTTATGAAGTCTGTGGTCTGCTGAGCAGCAAACAAGCGCGTGTACATTTCCGTGACATCGCACTGGAAATCGCTGCCTCGGGGAGTAAGCTTGGGCGACTGGCTGCCGCTAAGAGGACTCTCAGTCTCCCTGGGTTTCTGAAAAGGATAAAACTCTGCCACAGGCCGAGAACGTTTGTTTACTGACAAGAATCCCAGAGTTTGCGAAAAAACCTGATTCCGATGGAAAATTGTTGTTGCCGATTTGTTTGATCATTCCTTAGAACACACCTCAAACAAAAAATCACTACTACCAAAGAGAAAATCAAGGCAGGGACATGCCCAGTCAAGCGCTAAACTACTCCTACGTGAAGAGCAAAAGAGAAGAAGTACCCGAGTCGAAAGCGTATACACCCTCGGAGCTCTGGCACCGTTGTTGGCAGGCTGGACGAACCAACCTCTCGTTTCCAGCAGCCATGGCATCATCCACAAAGCCTGACGTTTTCCTGCCACACAACAGCGACAGTTTACCGTTTAGAGCATCCAAACAAAGCAGCAAGAACATCCAATCACTGGGAAAGAGAGAGCTTACTCGTCTAGTTTGTCACCAATACCAGTAGCGATCTCTTCCGTGGTTGAGACTGGCGAGGCCTTGGCCATGCGACTGAGCCGGCTGGGCTTGCCCCGGTGCTTGTTCTTGGCCGCCGCCGCCGCTGGAGCCGGCCTTGGAACCGCTGGCCTCGACTGTGGCGCGTGGATATCCACCGATGAAATCGTGTAGCTGCTACTCCCCTTGAAGGGCTTCTTGGGGCCGTCGGGCTTGGGCATCGCGGAGGGCGTCAGGCCATGCGATCGGCCATTCCCGGCGCGGTGGAGGCGGCAGCGAAAGGATCCCGCGTGTGTCGTCGGCGAGCAAGTGCATGTCGGCTTGCCTCCAGGCGATCGCGCGCCACCGCTGGAATCCGTGGCTCCGGCGGAAGAGCTCCTCCTCGACGGCACATTGTCCTTCTTGCTGGAGCTCTGCCCGGCCGTCGGCGTGAGATTTCGAGGCTTGAGCACCTTCTTGAGGAGATTTGTGCCATGCATCGGTGCGAAATCTGTGAAAGTGCGCTCTCAGGGAGAGAAATTTCCAGAGAATCCTCAAATTTACCGCCGATCATCCGCCGGGGCGCTCGCTCCCGATCAAGATCCAGCAACACAGGCACAATCCGACGCGCTCGATCCCTCTTCTTGCTGGCGACCCGCGTGGCGATCGACCGATCGGCTCCGGCAGTCACGGAAAGCGATCACTCGAAGCCCTAGAAACTGGGCGCCCAGAGACAAGAGCAAAAGTTTTGGAAAAATGGCGCTCTCTATCATCTAAACGGAGATTGGATTAATTTCTTTTTTTTCTTGTTGCTAAGCAGCTAACTGCATACGGCTCTGGCCCATTCCGTGCGGCCCAAAGGGCGGAATGGCCACCTCTCTCTCCTCGCATTCGCATGGGAGGAATGTGACTACGTGTTTTCACGAGCACGGCACTGGGGTGTTCTTCCACTTCTGCCCAAAAATTGGAAAAGCTTTAAGCTTTGGTGGTCAGATCCACAGTCGCTGTGCTCGAAAAACCTGTGAATCTTCGATTCCTTGTTTTTTTTATCTCCAAACAATGCATCGATCGTCGCGCGCTTCTTCGCTGACACCTGGTTCTTAAATCACAGGAGAATTGGTTTGTTTTCTTCTCGAGTGGTGGAAACCAAGAAACAACCTACCATGGGAAAAGAAACTCGGCAAAAGACCTAAAAGAGAGAACCCAGTAAAACTTACACTCTCGCTCGCTCAATCGACAGTAGAAGATCGATCGATCGATCGATCGATGTATGGACAGCTACTTCTTCTTCTTCGGCGATGATGATCCACCGGAGGTGGGATTCCCGCCCTTGATATACCAGCCGAGGGAGAAGAAGAAGAACCCTGCTAGCAGCGCGCTGCCCCAAGCATTGCTGTAGTACTTGGCGTATGTCCTGGTAGCGTAGCGCCACTGCTCGCGCAGTGTCTGCGGATCCGGATTGACAGGATCGGGAGGATTTGGAACAAAGCCCCCAGCCGGCACCGCCATAGCTCGCTTTGCTCTGACCTAAAATCCAAGAAAATTCATATATCGAACCTTGGACCTCGAGTGAGAGAGAATCTCCGCACCTCAACGGATCATGAATATTCTTTACTTTATTCTATCCATAAGATTGGAGTAAGATGGATCGATCTTGCGCTCGATCGCCTCTTCCAGGATGCTTGACGCGGACCATCACTGCTCTCTGGATGTATGTGAGGGTGGAAACGCTCAAGAAGCTCGCGAGTTCCCTCGGTGGTGTATCTCCGCTGGGCGAGACAGAAATTGGATTCCAGCTGCAATGACAATCGATCGTGAATACCACTGAATCTCAAGTCCTAAAAAATGTGGAGCAAATGCTCTGCGCTGTTTCAGGTGATATCACCTCTCTAGCAAATAGAGATTAAATGGAGATATTTGTGTCTCGCCGGGTCTTTTTTACTTCTTGATTATTGCCAGAAACCAGATTGGAAGCCTGATCCGCGGCTCTGGGTCCTTGAGGTTTCAAAAGCTGAGATTATTCGTATCCGGGAGAAAATGCGGGGGAATTCCAGAGCGTAGGTACGTGGGAGCGCTGGAAGATTTGCAAGCAAGGATGACCAAGGTCGATATGAGTTCCCCCGGCTCGCAGAATCCGGGGCAACAGCAGCAAGATTGTCAAGTCAGTGGCCGGGAAGATTGGCAGATTCGCAATGCCGGTGCCCTGGCCGGGATTTCGCGCAGATTGCCGAGCAAGCTGGGTGAAAGAACAGACTCTTTTCTTCCGTTTGCTACCAAAGTGGAAAGTCTCGTTTTCAAAGTGATGTGGTTTGCCTTTACTGCCCACACACCAACGACACTGTCCAGATTATAAACCCCCAAGTTTTTGTAGTACACTCTTTATCTCTTTCTTTTCTGTTTCGTTTGCATGTCATACGTGTGAGCGACCGCATTCTAGTGTTACACGAATTTTTATGTCCAAGCTGTGCTTAGGGTATGTATGGCGTGTTATTTATGGCGTGCAATTCGTACAAAACGTAACTTTGCATGCGTAAATGTTTTTCACGTCCATCAATGACTAATCCATGCTTCTGAATGTGGGTTACGCATGGCTCAGGAATGGCTTGGGGTGCTCGCGGTGGGCAAGCTCAAGAGCATCATGCACAAGTGATCAGACCAGCCTCAAGCTGGGAGGAGAACTCACAGCAGTTCAAGAACCATAGCAATACTTGGATTGTTGATGCCAAGGGCCAAGTATTGCAAGCACTATGGCAAGTGAGGATTGTGACAAGCTAAACCTGTTAGTGCACGATCAAGCACTCAACAATCCATCCTTCCTGTGCCAGCTCCACATCCTGGAGAGGTCTTGAAGATCCACAGCGTGATGGCAATTGCCAAGACCTCAGAAGCATCATCCTCAAGTTTCGGTTATCATGAAGGCCAGCAAGCTGCTCGATAGATAACTCGGGACAGTCCAAGGAGGTTTTCCAACTATGGAACCTCCAGCTCCTCCTCCGCAAGAACAATCCCACCATGACCAAGCTGTATAGGGATCTGCCCTTTATCATATGCCTGACTTCGGCATGTGATATCTAGCTTGAACACCTGATGGCTTTCTGCTAGGAATATTGGCACTCACTGTACTTTCACTTGCTCGAACCTCTTAGCTCTTAAAGCACAGGAAAGTTACAAAATTTTGTCACTTAGCAAGATTTTAAGCTCTCATGTATTGTATTAGAAGCTAACTTCCACCATGGTGTTTCTGGTGCCTGGACAACACACGACCTGGTGTTTCCGATCAATTGCGAGTGAAATCTCTCCTCTTCTAGCTTTGCTGCAGATGGAGGCAATGCTGAAAATCATTCTGGCGATGCTTGTGGCAGCTCTTGTTGCCAACGTTGAGCTGCATAATGATTTCTCACTCAAAGGCAACATCTTGTCTTCCTCCGTGCAGCTGCCTTTGTCAACTTCCTCTTGGTCATGTAAACTCCTGTGGAATAGCAGTGGAAAAAGCCTTTATCAATACAAATTAAAATGCTTCATGTTGTTGATTTGGTAATACTCCTAAACAAGGATTTGCCAGCAAGAGGATCAAATAAGCCATAGAATAAGATCCAACCTTGAAGCATGCCTAGGAGAAGATTGATTAGATGGCAACCTTCATGATTTTTAGCTTTCATGATCAAAACACCTCTAGAAGACCAACACCACCACAACTAATTCCACCTACACAATGAATTTGCTACAACTTACTCACAGCTAGAGAGCAAATACCCTAGGCCAAGAGCCTGCAACAGAAGTTCTGATCTACATACTATTAGCTCAATGCCTTGTTTGTATGAATGAATACATTAAAATTATCTACAGCCACAAAATTATCCAAAGCACCCATGTTAATAAAGATCTTAACAAAACTACCTCCGAGCTTCCCTTGGAGGGTTAGTAGATGTTGCAAATGATTCTTTGCTAAAGTTTCTCGTGTAATAAGTAACTTTGAGCTAGGAATTAGATCACGTACCTCAATTTAAATTTCGCTTGACTTAATGGCCATATTGGCCTTGTTTGGGTAGGGATATTCTTTTGAGAAGTGTCCTAGTTCACTACAATTGAAACATATGTTGTTTCCCACGTTATTAATATACTTTATTTTCTTATTAGTGGGTTTATCTCTTTTTGCTTGACTCCCCTTTATACTTGCTTTTTGGCTATTAAATTTGCTTTTCCAAAACCTTGAGGACTCATTCTTAGAGAAACTCTTCTTAAATTTTCCCTTGCCATATGTCCCCCTTAGTTTAGCTCTCTTGCTAAATGTGGACCTTAACCCCTATTGTGTTCCCTTTTTGCAGATTATCATTGAAATGCACCTTAATAGCTACATTTAATGCTTCCTTGTAGCTAGTTGGGTTTCAATGTATCACCTCATCTTGAGCTTAGGTCTATAAGCTTGAAATGAAGGCATGGAATGAATCTATGTCACCCATGTCTGTGACAAGGATCCTCTTAGCCATAAACTCATTTACATACTTTTGAATTATTCTTATCTGTTTTAGCCTACTCAACTCATCCCTTAGGTGTAAAGTAGCATTTGGAGGAACATAAATTGCACGAATCCTTACCTTCATCATCTCCCAAGTGGCCATTAATCCTTCGTTAGCCTTTGTTGTTCTCCACCAAGACTTAGCATTATCTACTAAATATAATTTTGCATATGGGACCTTTTTTAAGCTTGATAACTACAACACTTGGAAGTAATCCTCTATATTGTAAAAATAATCCTCCACCACCTTATAGTCATTCACTCCCTTAAAGGCTTTGGTTTGTACTTGGGAATTACTTGAGTGACTGATTCTACTTTAGTTTGTTCAACCTTGTTCGGTTCCACCTCAGTCTCTGCCAAAGGGTCCACGCTTTCTGCACTACTAGCATCTGCAGTCTTTTGTTTTTTCTTCTGCTTCTCGTTATGCTTTAGTTTGTATATGAAAGTTTCTAGCAGAGTATTGATCTGTGCCAATTGTTTTTTTAGAACGATCAATCGAGCCTTAGACGACCGAACTTACCACCAGACTCCTATTTGGAAGTTCCCTCACTAGAGTCCTTTTTATATAAAGATTCCTCATCCATAGCTTTTTGTTTGACTAGAGGCTTTAGCTTTTGAGGAGGTTCTATCTCCGCCTTGGTTCTCTTATGCCCTGCCTTAGCCATCTCTCAGCAATTTGCCTTTATCCTTCACTAAAACTAAGAAAAAGGCTCTGATACTAAATTGTAAGCCATAAATTTTTTCTTTTCGATTTGTTAATTTACCTCATTGCCTTGGCTTTAGTTAACTTCCCTTGCCAAAGTTCCCACCTATGCTACTAACACCTATTTGGTCCTACTTGACTTTAGTTACTCACTACACGAGCAACGAGATGTTAGGTATCAATTCATGAATTCCCAAATTCTTTCCTAATCCCCCTCTCTAGATTCCTATAGACATAAACAACCAAACACATTAACATTCCAAGTTCCTGAAATCCCTTGGTACCACAAGGTTTGATCTTAGGACTTTCTAAATCCAAAGTTTAGGTGCATCACTTACCTTGGGACTTTGGGGGGAAACATCATGGCTTAACAGCCCGATATGGGTACCTTAGATGCAAGTTGTTCTTGCTTCCTCGAGTGGCCTTTCTGGCACCACCCGATTCCATACTCACTCCCACCCAAGGCTTATAACCCT